GGTGGCTACGGCCACACTGTGGGGTAGATGTGACGTGTGCCTGCGCTCGCGGCGGCATGAATCGGAGGAAGATGTGTGGGGGGTTGAGCCAGCGGGGTGGGTCGTTTCAGTATAGTCAAAGTAGTTCTACGTCAGCTACTTAGCGGTGTGGAGGGTGAGGGCGGGGGTGAGCGTGAGGGCGAGGGTGAGGATGGGGGTGGGGGCGAGGGTGGAGGCTGGTCGCTACCTCTTAGTGAGGGAGGCGGTGGCGGAAGGTGTGTGGGCTGGCGGCGGCGAGGGCGGCGGCGTGAGGGCGGCGGCGGCGAGGGCGGCGATGAGGGCGGCAGTGGGGTGTGGTCAGCACACACCACGGGTTGCGCGTGTTGTCATTGCCAATCCGCTTGTACTCTCTCGACACGATCTCTGCCTCGACCATCTGCAAGCGGGGGGAGATAGGGGGAGATGTGGGGAGATGTGGGGAGATATGGGGAGATATGCCTCGACCGTCTACAAGCGGGTGGGTGGGTGGGTGGGGGGTGCGGGGGCAGGGCCGAGCGGTAAAGGGGGGCAGCGCCGAGGTGACGCGAGGGCAGCGCCGAGGGGGAGAGGGGAGAGGGGAAGGGGAGGCATCTCGTCTTTTGGCGGAAGACTGCGGCGGCTCACACCGGCAGGATATGGGGAAGCTCCCTCGCATCCAGAAGGAACGGCGAGCCGACTTGGTGGGCGAGGCGGTTGAAGCGGCCCATGAGCTGGATCCGATCCTCGGCGTCGCCAGGGTAGTATGTGGTGAGGTAGTCCCGGAAGCTCTCCGTACTGATCACGCCCGTGACGCCCCTGAAGTCGCGGTCTTCGTAGTTTGTCGGGGTGTGGGGGTCGTGGGTGTTGGTGACGCTGCCCGTGCTGCTCGTGTCGTCATCCTCGCCGTCATCGCCCGAGTCGTCGTCCTGCTTGGTCTTCGTCGTTCCATCGGTGGGCTTTGCTCGCACCGCGGTGCTGCCTCGCGCGAGGTGAGTCGCAGGGATTTCCGCCACTCCTTTCGGAGACTGCGCCCCGCTCCTCGTCACATGCGGCTCTTCTCCGCCAGGCAGAAGCGGTGGCGGTGGCGGTGGTGGCAGTGGCGGTGGCGGTGGCGGTGGCGGTGGGCTCGGAGGAGGAGGACGCCCGGGGCGCGGAGAAGGAGAGGGAGGAGAAGGCGGCGGTGGCGGTGGTGGGCTCGGAGGAGGAGGAGAAGGCGGCGGTGGCGGCGGTGGGCTCGGAGGAGGAGGAGAAGGCGGCGGTGGTGGTGATGGGCTCGGAGGAGGAGGAGGAGGGGAGGATTCCGCCATGTCGACGCCGAGCAGGTTGAGGGCTTCAGTGAGGTAGCTGAGCAGCTCGGGCGGAGGCGCCGCCGGAGGCGCGGGCGGCTCCGGCGGCAGCGCGGGCGGGAGCGGCGGCGAGGGCGGCGGCGGCTTAAATAGCGGCACCGACGGCGGCGCGGGCGGCGGCGGCGGCGGCGGCGACGGCAGCGAGGGCATATGATGTGGGGCAAGTGATGCGGGGCCGCCACAGCGGATCTCTCACAGCGTGCGCACGCGATGCCACAGCGGATCTCTCACACAGGCGCCCGCCGGTTTTCATCCATTTAGCTCTGTATTCTTTTTGCTTGCTCTGTATTCTTTTTGCTTGGGGCGGCCAGCATGCCGGTAGGGTAGGTCTGGGCGCTGGGTTTTTCCCTCTCTTCATGCCGGAATTTCACAGCAAAAAAGAAATCGTCGGCGAAAATCACGACGTCAACCCTCCCCAAGTGGGTGATCTGGTGCTTGTAGGGCTTGATAGTGGCCTGCCATGTCACAGGAAGGACTGTGGGCTCAAACCTTCAAGGAGATGCGCTATGGATTCATTGACACTGACCACCTCTCATCTCCAATCTCCAATCTTCTACTTGGCCACTGTCGCCGCCGGCAGCAATCTACGACCTCCATTTTCAATCTTCGATCTCACATCTGGGGCGGATGGCTGGGCGCTAGGATCTACAATCTGCATTCTCCATCTCCTATCTCCCACATTTTGGCCCGTGTTGCTGCTCAGCGATCTGCAATCCACAATCTCAATCTTCGTTCTTTAGTCTTGAATGGGGAACCGGACAGGAGGGATCTACTGGCGAGACTTGGGCGTGTCCGTGTGAGAGATCCGCTAGGATCTCCAGTCTTAATCTACTATCTCTCCCCCCACGATCTACTGTTCTTGCGCAGAGATTTCCATTACTCCGTCCGCGCGCGCTGTGAACAGCGCCGTGGTCAAACACTGTTTGACGTCGTCAAGAGCGGCCGCACTCTGTGCTCGGTACCCCCCCTGCACAACTAAGCTCATCCCTGCTGCTAGGGGGGGGGTCCCGACCCCCCCAGCAGCAGAGCGCTGCTGCTGGGGGGGGGGGTCGGCCATGAGCTTAGTTGTGCAGGGGGGGTACCGAGCAATGTGCGGCCGCTCCAAACACGTAGCGAAAGAGAGACCGCTCTCCTTTTTAGTGCTCTACATCGCTACATCCTCCCGATTCACATGGTCCCTACCGGTGAGACTCTCGGCGACACCTCGGTCGTCAACAACGCGTGCGACCTCGCGCACATTCACTCTGTCCGCTCGATACGGTCGGAGAACATCGACGGTGAGTTCTGTGCTGGGCTTGACGGCAAGCCCTCCGACATGAACTGCTCCGTGATGGCAAGCAAGGTCGGAGCCCTTGCCGTCGGCGCCAAGGCCGACAACACCTCCGAGGCGAACGGCCTCATCCCGCCTGACAAGTTCTGTGACAACCCGTCCTGCCCCGCGCACCCCTTCCTGCCCAAACTGAGCACCGAGGACGGCGCGGAGAGCGAGTTTCTCTTCTTCAACATCCCCGTCTCCGCGGCCGAGCATTCGATCATCACCGAGCTCGTCGTGCCCAAGATTGACGCCGAGTCCAAGGCCGTCGCTCTCGGGCAAACGATCGCCTCCAAGATCGACGTCGACAAGATCTTCTCTGTGCAGCCACGCGCCCGAGCCGCGCGACGCCGACTTCGCGACGCGGTGGAAAAACATTATCGACCAAGTCCGTCTCCGAGTCGTTCACCACATCATCGAGGTCGGCACCCGCTTCACCAAGCTCCTCTCCGACGCCCGCCTCTCGCTCAACTCTTTCACGAGCCCCTCCATCGCCGACGCCTTCATGCTGAGCGCCATCGGTACCGCGTCCGTCAACAACGACTGGGACTCGTCGTCCTCGCAACCCGCAATGGTGGAGTCACTTCTCGCAACCGGCACTTTGAGAAGTTCCTGCGTCTTGGTCGCCTCCACTACGAGGACAACATCTCCTCGCCCGAGTTCGTCCCGACCAGCGACCAGTGCGCCGACATCTGGACGATACGAAGGCTCTCGACAAGACGACCTTCCTCAAGCATCGAGCCAAGCTCGTCCGCTGATCTACCAGATCGGCTTCTCCCATGATGTTCAATTGACATCCAGTCGACCGCTCCGATAGGTTACTACCTTCAGCCCGGGAGACGGAAGGTCACTATGCCACGTTCACTACCTCGCGCCTCTGATCAGCGCGACGCCTTACCTTTGTTGTCTCTGCAGACAATGGGGGAGTGTGAGAGATAAGGCGACTCAGGAGCTTTCACACCTCTCCGGTCCCAGACAGAGGAGACTTGTCCCCTGTGGAGAGAGTGTGTGTGAACAGTCGTGAGACGCCATCCGTCGGGCCGAAGTCCTTCCCGACTGTTTGTTTGCTTTGTGTGTGTGCAACCGCGTCTTCCCTGCTCTCCTTTTTAGTGCTCTACATCGCTACATCCTCCCGATTCACAGTGTGGGGAGAAGGAAGCCCAACATTTCTTTCTTTCTTCTCACGAGACAGGCTCGACAAGGTGCGGAAGAGAAAAACAGAACTTTTGGGGGGCGCGCCGCCGGCGCGTCCCCACTTTTGTATGACTAGAAGCGGCTGCGCGGGCCCCGCCCCCGCTCGGGGGGGGGGGGGGGCGGGGCCCTTGCGAAGGAGAAGAGGCCAGAGTTGTACAGCAGCGGACGATGGACAACGAAGCATGAGAGGCTTGATAGGAAAGGTCACACACAGACGACACTCGTAACTCGAGACCACGTCGAGAGCACAAACGATATCGAATCGCCACACTTTTCCCATTGGTCGAGATGGTGGTGTTGCGCGACACTTGTCCTGCCTATCTCCCCCCATCATCTACCCACATCTCCCCATTGCTCATATCTCGACAATGTGGGGTCCCCAAATGTGCGACATGATTGGCATCATTGGCTCAGCAGCCTACTCTCCCGTCGCCTGCGAGCTCGAGCATCGTTGGCCTCCTTGCTCAGCTTGGTCGGACGATTGTTCGGCGAGCGGACTCGCGTATCAAAGAGCCGGGCCTTCGCTTGGCCGAGCGTCTCCCACGTATTGGTCTTGAGTCTCTCCTCGGCATCCGCCGTGAGGGAGACGCCCCTCTCAGCGTAGTATTGGTCCTCCTGGTATGGCGCCCACCCCGCTGTGTCGCCCTCAAAGTTCGCAAGGTACTCCTTTCGGGTAAGGATGTGACAGCCACGGCCAGCGGCAGTGGGGAACGGGTCAGGCTGGCTTGGCTCGCATCTCGTGGTCATGATGTGGCGGTTGGACCCGCCAGGAGAGCGAGCAAGCTCGGCCTCCCCCTCCCGAGCAGAGGCTGAGAGCTTCGACTCCTCCTCGAGTGGCTCGCGCGTCGGAATGAGCGGCGGCACATCGTCTGGGGCCTTCTGCTCCGAATCGTTGGCTTTCCCGGCCGCAGCGCGGCTTTTGCCGCAGATCGGCCAGTGACGGTGCCGGTGACATGTCCCAGCTCGGCCTGTAGGGCTCTCACAGGGAAGTTCGGACGGACCACGCGGCGGGCAAGCGAAGTTCGACCGGAACTCGCTGCGGCATTTATATATAGTTAGAGGCTGCGCAGGCCGTCCCGTTTGCTGTTTGAAACGCCTGTTGCGCTGGCCGCTGCGCGCGCGCGCGCTGGCCGCTGCCGGGGCTCTGTCTCACTCTCACGTGCCGCAATATGTGTCACACACGGCGGCTTCTGCCACCTCTCGATTGGTTCTACTTTCTCCGCACACCTACCGGGGAAGGGGCGCTTGGGAGCCGGGGCGGGGGCGGGGGCGGGGGCGGGGGCGCGCAGCGCGGCGGCGCGGCGCGCGCAACAGAGGGTAGGGTGGGGAAGACGGCGAGGAGGGGGCGGCGGCGGCGGCGGCGGCGGCAGCGCGCGCGCGGCGCGCGCGACGGGGGGGCGGAGCAGCGACCGCTGGCGCGGCCGCTGCTCCGTCTGTGCCAGGGACGCGCGCTCTGCGCCGCTGCAGAGCGCGCGCGTCAGGGCAAGGGGCATGCGTTGGCGGCCGGGGACGCGCGGCGGCGGCCGCAAGCAACCTTCCCTGGGCGGTGAGGCCGCCCGGGCAAGGCCGCTGCGGGTGCACGTTCAAGGGAGCAGCCCACACCCGGCGTCGCTTTTTGAGCGACGCTGTGGTACGCCTGCGCAGGGGCCGCAGGGCGGTCAGTTGTGGGGCGAGGCGGTGCCGGCCGCGGGCCGGGTGCAAGGCGCCGGCCTCGGCGCCGCCTCGGCGCGCCGCACGGGCGCGGCGAGCCTCTGAGCGGGAGCCGAAGGTTTGCCTGTGGGAGGGAGGGAGGGAGGGAGGGAGGGAGGGAGGTGGGGGTGATTTGACTTTGCCGCAGAGGCCGTCCCTAGCTGTGAACAGCAAAACGGGACAGTATTGGACACCTAAGCGTGAAAGCTGTTACTCGAGTATCCAGTCAACCCTGGAGGCGGATTAGCGGGGTCTGTCCGACTCGCTCGCTGCACGGTTGGCTGCGGCGCTCCGGCGCAAAGCCGACGCTCGAGAAGTGGCGCCACTCTGCGTGGCTGCCCTCCGGGCTTGTCCTTGGCTCTCCGACATCGATCGAGCACGCCTGTCCGACGAGCGGCTTGCCGCGCGGGTGGCTTTGTGTGGCTCTTGTCGAGAGCGTTTTGCGGCCCGCCGGGTGAGAGAATATGTGTCGTCTGATGTGTCACTGTGTACGTCATATCAGTCTTGATAACAAGCACGGTCGATCCGTCGAAGCGATATACTCGTCACGTCACGCTGGACGGCTTGCACGGAACTCTGTGCCGGCAAAACAGGAAGAGCCGCGCTGCAAGAAGAGCTCGATAGGGAGCGAGAATCGTCAAAGGTGCTCACGCAGGTTTCGGACGTCCGTCCTGGTGCGGTCAGTTCCCCCCAGGTTTGATCGCGCAGGTCTCAAAACTCGTCGAGCACTCGTAGCCTTTCTGCGACTCTCTGCGTGCTGCCGGCTCGGGAAGAGCAATTTTGCAAGATATCTCAACGAGATCCGACATCTGCGCGGTCATTTTTGGAGTGATCTTACCGCGTCATGACGGAGTCTTGATACCTCTCGGAGCACCTCTAACGGTTCTCGCTCCCTATCGAGATCTTCTTGCCGGACGGCTCTTCCTGTTTTGCGGGGCGCGCTGAGCTCTGTGTCAAGCTCGAAGGGCAACGGAAACGAGTGCATCGATAGACCGACTGTGCTTGTTACCAAGACCGATCTCACGTACACAGTTACACTCCAGACGTCCTGTACTCTCCCATCCGACAACCGGCAAGACGCTGTCGTGAGCCAGCCGCTCTTGCGGCAGCCGTCAGCAGAGACCGAGCGCGTCGGGCGAGTGGAAATCGAGATGGCGAGCCCGCCGTGGGGCCGGACGACGGCGCTGGCGAGCCGGATCGAGGCCGCGGCATCACGGTGGCGAGCAGGAGGGGCTTAGGCTGTTTTCACGTGGAAGCGTAGGTGAGCCCAGAACGCTAATCCTGGGCAGGTTTGGCTGGTGAGACCACTTTGAGACACCTTCGCGCTAGCTGCTCAGTTCGCTGCACGTCTCGTCGCGCTTGGCGGCGCGAGCGGCGGAGTGAGAGGCGCCTGTGCACGCGGCCGAGAGGCGCTGTCGTCATGCAGGAGCCGGCGCGTCGAGCAGGGCCAGCACCGGCAGCGCGGCCGTCGACAAGGTAGCGACAAGGAAGAGAGCGGCGCTTTCGGCACAGGGCTGGCGAAGAGAAAAGACGCCGGCGGCGGGCGGAGGCGATCAAGGCGCGACGAGGGCCAGGTCACGGCGACCTCGCACGGGCCGGCGCGGCGAGAGGACCTGGCTGGGGCACGGCGATAGGTGGTCGGCGAGCGTTGAGCACTCTGTGGCCAGACTCAGATGCTTACAAGACGGTGTCGGGTGAGGGAAAGGGCTGGCTCACCGTGGGTAGGGTTGCCGTGCGTGTGGTAACACTGTTTGAAATTGGGTGATGTTCATCTTCACAGCAGTGCCTGAAATGAGTTCTTTTTGCGGGTCTCAGAGCGTCTAGCGAAAGCTGAGGAAGAAATAAAACGCTGCTCGTTCTCAGGGAGGGGCGTAGTGTCGCTCCGTCGCTCGTGCGTGTCGTCATCATCTGTCTAGCGTCCACCCATACCGCGTTGATGTCCAGTCCGAGCCTGGCTGTTCTTCACCTTCCTTGTACCTAACCTAACCTAACCGCTCATGTTTTTCACTGTTGTAGAATGTCCTTGTAATGTGAGAGAGACTTACTGCGTTGTCTTCTTGTGTACGGATCATGTAGTCCCCACACTCGCTGTCTGTCGTGGGATCGCTTGCCGTCCGCTTTAAGAGAGAAAGAATTCAGACCACCAAAGGGAGGGATGGGAGGACGGCACGCCGCCACCTCCACACAGGGATTTTAAGGAGAGGAGTGTGGTGCTAGCCGTCGCCCACCCTAACCCTTGGGCGTCTGCCTCTTTCTATCTCCCTTCGCAGTCCCTAAGGCAGTCCCTCGCCGATTCTCGCTGCAACCTTTATGCCACGTCGCGGTCGCCCCACTCTCGTCGTTCTCCCTCCTGTCGCTTCATCCTCTGTCGCGTCGCTCTCCTCTACCTCGTCCTGCTGCGCCGCCGCTGCCCCGGCCGATCCCTTGCTCTCGCGGCTTCTTCTCGGCGCAACTCCGCCCTCCTCGCGGCGTATTTTGGCCCCTCGAGTTTATCAAGCTCTCCTCGCGCAAGGACGACTCTTCTGACGCCCACTGCGATCATTTCTGCCAAGTCATGTCGTTGCTCAGGTCCACTCTCGTTTCGAGCACTTGTACCTCTCCACAGATGGTGTTGGCGCTGGGGTCCCCTTCGGGTGCATCGTGACAGCTGACGACGGGATTACCACAGGTGTTTCGTCCTCCTCTGGTTCGTCTTCCCCGGCTTCCTTCCGTTCGGCTCTACGTTCAGTACGTTCGGCGTGGCTCACCCTCCATGCCGTGAACAGGCGCTTTATCCACCCCTACACCCCTATATTCTTCTCTCGCTCCTCTGCCCGTGCCTCGGTCTTGTCGTTTTTTCGCACCCATGTCAGGATGGCGATCGAAGCTGCCTTGCCAACTACCTGCAGTTCCCTCGTCACCTCTCCTGCAACGACCCCTCTCTTTCTTTCGGGTATATGGAGTCCGTGAGTGCGGGCAGCGTGCAGGCAATCACGGGCGCTATTCTGTCGTACTCCTCTTCGGCGAGCGCTCCAAATCTAGACCCCATTGCTTTTAAGGAGGCTGCCCTCGCTCGTCTCAGGAATATAGCTGTGTCTTTGGTGTTCAGGCGCCGCCTTGGCCTTTATACGCTTTTCTTCATATTCTATATTCTTTTTCGAAGCGATTTTCAGCCGGAATATAAAGAATATTCGAGAATACGTATCTAAGGAAGGAAGTCAACTTTGATGGGGGCAGCCAAATTTGTCGGTGGACCGCAAATCGTGGAGTTGCGAGTCACGCTCGGGCAGACAGCATCGATGCCGTCGCCGGACGCGGCGGCGAGGCGCCCGTGCCGTGGGCGACGCCGAGGCGGCTGTGGCGCGGCCGGCGCCGCCTCCCGCGCGCCGGGGTGTGCGGCGCAGCGCGCTGGCGGACGTCCTCGAGGCGGAGGACGACGAGCGGCAGGACGAGGCTGCGCGTGGCGATGAGCAGCCGATGCTAGCGCCCCACGGGCCGGCGCTGTCGGTGCAGCTTCGGCGCGTGCGCCTGCAGCTGCGCGAGTTCCTCGCAACGCAGGCCGCGGCGGGGAAGAGCGTGCCGATGCAGCGGACGGCCCTCGGTCTGCACCCAACGATGCGGTGGACGATCCGCTTCGGCAAGTGGCTCGCGACGACGCGAGTCAGAGCATTGAGGGCGAGCCGGTGGCACGCGACCGAGCGGGGCGACGCGCGGGAGGAGGAGCCGACGGTGCGCGCGGGTCGCGGCGAGAACACGGTCTACGTCGCGTTGCATTAAAACATACAGAAGTTCTCTCCTTCGTCGGCGGGAAGAATACAGACAGCTCCAAATCGGGCCTACTCTCTGTCTAGGGTAGGGATGATTTGATTGATCCAGCCGCCCGCCGACGAAGTAGAGATAGGCCCTATTTGGAGCCATATTCTTGCCATATTCGAGAATATAGACCCTATTTTGAATATAGATAGTACTCGGCGAGAAAAGCGTATAAAGGCCAAGCGCCGCCCGTTCGACTCTTTCTTGCTGTCGCCCTCGCCGTGTGTTTGTAGCTTCCGCGTGAAGTAACGCGCCTTTCCTGATTTCCTGCGCATTTGCCGCTCAGTAGGTGCGCCAACGACGCCGGTTGGCTCACTGTCTTCTCGTGTCCCACGCGTGCGCTTTCTGCCGGTCTCGCTTCTTTCGTCGCGACTTCGAATGGCCGACTCGCTCGCTCTCGCTCTGCTCCATGTCGTGCCTCGCTACCGGCGAGGCAACCACGCGCCGTCGGTAGCTCGTCATCGCCACGGCTCAAAGTAAGACTCACCGCCCTCTCTTCTGGCCAGGCGGCGGAGGCGGTTCTGCTTGGGCTGCGAGGCGAGCCTAGCCCGCCCGGCCGTCCGCTGTGTGGGCGCGGAGTCGAGCTGAGCGTGGAGGAGGTGGTGGCATACGCGGCTGCGCGGCTACGTGCGCTGAGCTTTGACGCCTGGCGAGCCGTCGCCGCAGACGATCGCCGGCGCACCGCTGCGACCAGCGCCGCCTGCACCGCCAGCGCTACGCAGATTGCCGACGCTTTGGCTCCGCACGCTGTGACTCACGGGCCTGCCGTTGCTCCGCCCGAGACTGACGCCGCTGCTGCTCCCGCTTGGTCGGCGATGGCGGATCGGGATGCTGCGGCGAGGGAGGAGGCTGCCGCGGCGGCGAGACGAGCGGCAGCCCGCCGCGCCGCCGCGTCCAAGGCGAGGGCGGCGAGGGAGGCTGCGGCGGCGAGGGAGGCTGCGGAGGCGGAAAAGGCGAGCGAGCGCCCTCGAAACTCGCGCTGCTCGTCTAGTCCACCGCAGCTCACGGCCGAGGCGTTGGTGCGTTGGTGCTGCAGGCGAAGCGGTCGAGTGAGGCGGCGGCGCGCGCACTCGCGACCAAGGAGTCGAACGAGAGGCGGCGCGCAGCGGCGGCCGCGCGCGACGCGCGAATCTTGGCGGCGGCGGAGCGGGCGCAGGAGGAGGCGAGGGCGAGGAGGAGGGAGGCGGAGGCACTCGCATCGGAGGAGGCGGCGAGGGCGGCGAGGGAGGAGGAGGCACGGGCGGGGGCCAAGGCGGCGAGGGAGGCGGCGGCGAGGGAGGCGGCGGCGAGGGAGGCGGCGGCGAGTGAGGCAGCGGCGAGGGAGCAGGTGGCGAGGGAGGTGCCGGAGAGGGAGGCGGCAGTGGAGCCGGCGAGGGCGGA